TGCAGCTTTTTAGTTTAATTAGATCCTCTTTGTCAATTTTGGTTTTTGTTGCCATTGCTTTTGGTGTTTTAGTCATGAAGTCTTTGCCCCTGCCTATGTCCTGAACGATTTTGCCTAGGTTTTCTTCTAGGGTTTTTATGGTTTTAGATTTTACGTTTAAGTCTTTAATCCATCTTGAGTTAATTTTTGTATAAGGTGTAAGGAAGGGGTTCAGTTTTGGTTTTCTGAATATGGCTAGCCAGTTTTCCCAACACCATTTGTTAAATAGAGACTCCTTTCTCCCTTGCTTGTTTTTGTCAGGTTTGTCAAAGATCAGAATGGTTGCAGATGTGTGACATTATTTCTGAGGCCTCTGTTCTATTCCATTGGTCTATATATGTGTTTTGGTATCAGTACTATGCTGTTTTGGTTTCTGTAGCCTTGTAGTATGTTTGAAGTTAGGTGGCGTGATGCCTCCAGCTTTGCTCTTTTTGCTTAGGATTTTCTTGGCTATATGAGCTCTTTTTTGGTTCCATATGAAGTTTAAAGTAGTTTTTTCCAATTTTGTGAAGAGAGTCAATGGTAGCTTGATGGGGATAGCATTGAATCTATAAATTGCTTTGGGCACTATGGCCATTTTCATGATATTGATTCTTTTTATCTATGAGCATGAAATGTTTTTCCATGTGTTTGTGTCCTCTCTTATTTCTTATCAGTGGATCCAGGAGCTGGCTTATTGAAAAGATAAACAAAATGGATATACTGCTAGCCAGACTAATAAAGAAGTAAAGAGAGAAGAATCAAATAGACACAATAAAAAATGATAAAAGGGATATTACCACTGATCCCACAGATATACAAACTACCATTAGAGAATACTATAAACATCTCTATACAAATAAACTAGAAAATATAGAAGAAATGGATAAATTCCTGGACACATACACGTTCCCAAGTCTAAACCAGGAGGAAGTCGAATCCTTGAATAGACCAATAAGAACTTCTGAAAATGAGGCAGTAATTAATAGCCTACCAACCAAAAAAAGTCCAGGACCAGACAGATTCACAGCCGAATTCTATCAGAGATACAAGGAGAAGCTGGTACCATTCCTACTGAAACCATTCCAAATGATAGAAAAATAGAGACTCCTCCCTAACTCATTTCATGAGGCCAGCATCATCCTGATACCAAAACCTGGCAGAGACAACAAAAAAAGAAAATTTCAGATCAATACCCCTGATGAACATCCATGCAAAAACTCAATAATATACTGGCAAACCAAATCCAGCAACGCATCAAAAACCTTATCCACAATGATCAAGTTGGCTTTATCCCTGGGATGCAAGGCTGGTTCAACATACACAAATCAATAACCTAATCCATCACATAAACAGAACCAATGACAAAGACCACATGATTATATCAATAGATGCAGAAAAGGCCTTCAATAAAATTCAACATCTCTTCATGCTAAAAACAACAACAATAAACAAACCTACAAAAAATCTCTCAATAAACTAGGAATGATGGCACATATCTCATAATAGTAAGAGCTATTTATGACAAACCCACAGCCAATATCATACTGAATGGACACAAGCTGAAAGTATTCCTTTTGAAAACAGGCACAAGACAAGGATGCCCTCTCTCCCCACTCCTATTCAACACAGTATTGGAAGTTCTGGCCAGGGCAATTAGGCAAGAGAAAAAAATAAATGATATTCTAATAGGAAGAGAGGAAGTCAAATTGTCTTTGTTGGCAGATGACTTGATTGTATGTTAGAGGACTCCATTGTCTCAGCCCAAATATTCCTTAAGCTGATAAGCAACTTCAGCCAAGTCTCAGTATACAAAATAAATGTGCAAAAACCACAAGCATTCCAATACACCAATAATAGACAAACAGAGAGCCAAATCATGAGTGAACTCCGATTTACAATTCCTACGCAGAGAATAAAATACCTAGAAATACAACTTACAAGGGATGTGAAGGACTTCTTCAAGGAGAGCTACAAACCACTTATTAAGGAAATAAGAGAGGAAACAAACAAATGGAAAAACATTCCATGCTTGTAGATAGAAAGAATCAATATTGTGAAAATGGCCATACTGCCCAAAGTAATTTATAGGTTGAATGCTATCCCCATCAAGCTACCATTGACTTTCTTCAGAGAATTAGAAAAAAACTTTAAACTTCACATGTAACAAAAAAATAACGTATAGCCAAGACATTCCTAAGCAAAAAGAACAAAGCTGGAAGCATCACGCCACCTGACTTCAAACATACTACAAGGCTACAGTAATCAAAATAGGATGGTACTGATACCAAAACACATACATAGACCAATGGAACAGAACAGAGACCTCAGAAATAATGCCATATATTTACAACCATCTGATCTTTGACAAACCTGACAAAAACAAGCAAGGGAGAAAGAAGTCCCTATTTAACAAATATGAGACTGAAAGCTTTTCCTCTAAATTAGAAGCAAGAATGTCTATTTTCATCACTCTATTCAACATAGTACTAGAAATCTCAGCCAGATAAATTAGGCAAGGAAAAGAAACAAAAGGCATCCAAATTGGAAAGGAAGAAGTAAAATTATCTCTGTTCACGGACAACTTGGTCTTATATGTAGAAAACCCTAAAAATGCCACCAAAAAAGTGTTGAAACTAATAAACCAATTTAGCAAAGTTACAAGATATAAAATCAGCATGCAATTATCAGTTGCTTTTTTATGCACTAACAATGAACAATCCAGGAAGGAAATTAGAACAAAATTTTATTTACAACAGCATCAAAGGAATGAGATAGTTAGGAATAACCTTGGAGGCAAAAGTCTTGTTCACTGCAAACTACAAAATATTGCTGAAAGAAATTAAGGAAGACACCCTTAAGTGGAATATCCTTTCCAATCCATGTTCATAGATTGGAAGATGTAATATTGTTAAGAAGTCACTATTACCAAAAGGGATCTACAGATCTGATATAATGTTTATCAAAATCCCAATGATTTCTTTTTAGAAATTAAAACATTTCCTGGGCAACGATTCTATGAAAACAAAAATCCACCTCAAACTAAGATGAAATCTCAAGGGACAAAACAGTCTGGAAAAACAAAGTCAGAGGTCTCACATTTCCTGATTTCAAAACTTATTATAAAGCTACAGTAATCAAAACAATGTGGTACTGGCATAAAGATAAACACATAGACCAATGGAATAGACTAGAGAGCCCAAAAATAAACCTCTGCATATGTGCTCAAACAATGTTTGGCAAGGGTGTCAATATCATTCAACAAGAAAAGAAAAGTCTTTTCTGCAAATGGTGGTGGGAAAATTGGATATCCACATGCAAAAGAATGAAGTTGGACCTTACACCAAATACAAAAATTAACCCAAAATGGATCACAGACCTAAACATAAGACCTAAAACTATAAAACTTGTAGAAGAAAACACAAGGGGAAGCTTCATGACATTGGATTTGGCAATGATTTCTTGAATGCAACACCAAAAGCACAGGCAACAAAATAAAATATAGATCACCTAGACTACATCAAAATTTAAAATTCCTGTGCCTCAAAGGATACAAGAAACTGAGTGAATGGGTAACCAATAGAATGGGAGAATATATTTGCAAATCATATATCTGAAAAGGGTTAATATCTAGAATGTATAAAGAATGTCTACAACAGCAAAAACTCCAATTTAAAAATGAACAAAAGAGGGCTGGGCACAGTGGCTCATGCCTGCAATCCCAGCACTTTGGGAGGTCAAGGTAGGCAGATCACCTGATATCAGGAGTAGGAGACCAGCCTGGCCAACATGGTGAAACCTCATATCTACTACAAATACAAAAATTAGCTGGACATGGTGGCAGGCCCCTGTAATCTCAACTACTTGGGAGGCTGAGGCAGGAGAATGGCTTGAACCCAGGAGATGGAGGTTGCAGGGAGCTGAAATCATGCCACTGCACTCCAGCCTAGGTGATAAAAGCAAAACTCCAGCTCAAAAAAAAAAGGGGGGGGTAAAGGATATGACTAGACATTTTTCTAAGGAAGATACACAAATGGCTAATAAACACATGAAAAGATTCTCAACATTCCTAACCACTAGAGGAATTCAAATAGCCAATAAACATGTAAAAAGTTCAGTATCATTAATCATTGAGAGAATGAAAATTAAAACCACAATGAGATACCATTACACAGCCACCAGAATGGTTCATAGTGTGTGAAATTGACAATACTAAAAGTCGGTAAGGACATAGAGTAACTGAAACTCTCATGTCCATCTGGTAAGAGTAAAACTTGACAAAATCACTTTAGAAAACTGTTCATCAATAAATAGTAAAGCTGAACATATGCATATCTTATGATTCAGTAATTCAAGTCCTAAATATATACCCAATAGCAATTAATTAATGCATACATACACCAGAAGATATATTAAAATGCTTATAGCAGTATTTTTAATAGCCAAAATCCAAAACTAAGTTAAATATACATCAATAGTAAAATTGATACACAAATTATAACATAGTCACATAATAAAATACCACACAGATTATCTTCAAAGAAGCAATAATAATATTGCCAATTGACCTTCTCAAAAGAAATACTGGAAGCCAGAAAATAAAGAAATGATTATTGTGAAAGTACTAAGATAAAAGAATTGCCATCTTAAAATTCTATACCCAGTGAAACTATTCAACAAGAATAAAGTTGGCCAGGCACAGTGGCTCACAACTGTAATCCCAGCACTTTGGGAGGCTGAGGCAGGTGGATCACCTGAGGTTGGGAGTTTGAGACCAGCCTCACCAACACGGAGAAACCCTGTCTCTATTAAAAATACAAAATTAGCCAGGCGTGGTGGCACACGCTTGTAATCCCAGCTACTTGGCAGACTGAGGCAAGAGAATTACTTGAACCTGGGAGGTGGAGGTTGCAGTGAGTTGAGATCATGCCATTGCACTCCAGCCTGGGCAACAAAAGCAAAACTCTGTCTCAAAAAAAAAAAAAAAAAAAAGAATAAAGTTAAAGATATTTTCAAACAAAAACTGAAAGATTTTGTTTCTAGTAGACCCACACTAAAGGAAATTTCTGCCTGAAGGATTTTCTTCAGGCAGAAAAAATGGTCCCAGATGAATGGTCAGAGAGAGAAGAAAGAATAAAGGAAAATTTAAATGGTAAACATGTAGGTAAATGAAAATGAGTATCAGCTATGTAAAAACAGAAATAATAATGTCATCTGGAGTGCAAAATGTATACAGCAATAAAACAATGCCAATAATGACATATAGGTTAGGAAGAAAATAAATAAAGGTAAAATGTTGACATTAAAACCACTGATTAATGTCTGCACACTGAGGCCTAATTGGCCAGGTGTGGTGGCTCATGCCTGTAATCCCAGCACTTTGGGAGGCCGAGGCAGGTGGATTACCTGAGGTCAGGAGTTCGAGACCAGTCTGACCAATATAGTGAAACCTAAAATGCATCATCAAGCAACACTTCTCAAAAACATCCCCTTTTGCATTGTTGTCTTCCTTCTCCCTTCTGATCTCAAACCTAAAAGAATGAAGAGAGAATGTAGTTATTTCATGTCATTATAATCAGGATTAGGATTAAAATGTACCAAGAGTTTAGTTTTGGTTGTTTGTTTGTTTGAGATAGAGCCTTGCTTTGTCACCCAGGCTGGAGTGCAGTGGCATGATCTAGGCTCACTGAAACCACCCCCTCCTAGGTTCAAGCAATTGTCTTTCCTCAGCTTCTGGAGTAGGTGGGATTACAGGCATGTGTCACGATGCCTGGCTAATTTTTGTATTTTTAGTAGAGATGGGGTTTCATCATGTTGGCCAGGCTGGTCTCCAACTCTTGGCCTCGTGATCCACCCACCTTGGCCTCCCAAAGTACTGGGATTACAGGCGTAAGCCACCACACCCACCCTAGTTTTGTTTTTAATGATTATTTACCCTAGTGTCTGCACATGTGACATCCGAAAACTTAGGTTTTTCTTTTTTTCAAAAATAAAATAGTGAGGTTTTTTTTTCTGTTAATAATGTAAAAGATGCAGAAGACAGTATTCATACAGCTTCATTCTGTATATGCTATTTAATCATCTGCTTTTGCTCACAACACATAATGGATATCTCTCTATATAAAATTTAGGTCTATATTATTATTTTTATTTGCTTCCTGGTATTCTAGTACATGTATTAAATGAAGTAGCTATGAGCATCTCCTTTGGTATCAGGCAGTCATGGTCAAATCCTGAATCCACATGTACTGGCAGCAGGACCTTGAGCAAATCATTTCATCTCTGTCAGCCTTACTTAGTTCCATTAACTGAGAAAGGGAGATTATAACATCTACCATAATTGCTGCAAAAATTAGATAATGTATAAAAAGAATTTTCAGAATGGCTGACATGATAACAGATGAGTAAGTGATAGATACTATCTTTGAAAAGACATCTTGTTTTCAACAATCACCTATCAATGGGCACATAGATTGCTTCTAATTTTTCCTTTAAAAACAATGATGGAGTACATCTCCTTTTATATAGAAAAACGTTATTGCTTGTGTGATTTTCTTTAGTTTTAATCTATAAGTGAAATTCTGAGTCAAAGGATATGGACAACATAGTATTTCTAATTTCTGGCAAAGATTTGTAACACTAGAACTGACGGAACTTTAACATATAGGCAGCGCAAAGAAAAGAGCTGAAGCAGAGTGGTCATGAAATGAATAAAACAGGAATGTAGGCTATCTTGTGGGACCTTTATTGTACAGGGAGGTAGAGGGAAGACACTACAGGACAGAAGTTAAGAATACACCCAAGCTCTAAAGTGAGAGAGCCTACATTCATACCCTATCTATCCATATTAGCTGTGGAACCTTGGACAAATAAACTTTAGAAAAAAATCTTATAATGATTTGGCTCGTGTCCCCACCCAAATCTCACCTTGAATTGAAATAATCCCCACTTGTCAAGGGTGGGACCAGGTGGAGGTAATTGGATCATAGGGGCAGCCCCCCATACTGTTCTCGTGATAATGAGTGAGTTTCATGAGATCTGATGGTTTTATAAGTATCTGGCATTTCCCCTACTTGCACTCATTCTCTCTCCTGCCACACTGTGAAGAGGTGCCTTCCACCACGGTTGTTAGTTTCCTGAGGCCTTCCTAGCCATGTGGAACTGTGAGTCAATTAAACCTCTTTTCCTTATAAATTACCTATTCTTGGGCAGTTCCTTATAGCAGCATGAGAATGAACTAATACATCTTATAAATAAGAAATAGATATGTTTTTCAATTGTGAGGAACACATTGAAACAAATTGAGGAGGGTTTTACATAGTGCGTAACTCAAATAAGTGCTCAGTAAATGGTTGCTATTATTAAATATAATAGCAGCTAATTTTAAAAATGAAATGGGAAATAGCAGAGCACAGAAAAAGGAAGAACATTTCCAAACTAATGCTTTGAGAAAACCATAATCTTTGTATTAAAATTAGATGGCAGCACACCAAAACAGAAAATCGTAGACTAATTTCACTTATGAATATAGTTGTAAAATCTCTGAAAAAAAATAAAGCAGGAAAATTAAAATCAGCAGAGTTCTAAATGAATAATAATTTTATGCCCAAAAAGTGGCTAAGTAACTTAGAGACAAGTTTTTACATTTTTCAGTACCTCATTTTCCCCATTCATAAAACAACATGGTAATAATAGAGTAGTTGCTATCTCGTAGGGTGGATGGCAGTGGCACTCCAGACGGCCTGCCTTTGCCATCACTTGGGGTGCAGCAGGGAGGTGCCACTGGGCTGCATGCTCCATGGAGCCTGAGGAAACGGGGGGACAATGGAAGCCTCTCTGCTTCCTAGTTGGGGTGGGGGCTTACCAGATGCCACTGCAGCCCCCCAAACACGGGCTGCAGACCCGGGCCTCCTGCTGCATGGAGCAGGCAGGATCTCTGTCCTACTGGACACAGCTGTAGCCACCCCCAAAGCACACTGCAGACCTGGGCTTCCCACTCCATGGAGGAGGCAGGAGCCCTGCCTTCCTGGGCTGGGCTGCAGCCACCCAAGTTTTGGGTGCAGATCCCAGCCTCCCTGTACTCTCCGGTGCAGCTGCAGCTATCCAAACCATAGCTACAGACCCAGGTCTCCAGCTCCATGGAGCAAGTAGGAGCCCTGCCCCACTCTACCTCTACTCAGCTGCAGCCACATAAACTGCATCTGCAGACTCAGGCATCCCTGCACTTTGGGGTGCCCAGGAAGGCATCCCTGCCCTTGCAGGCTTGGAAGCTCCTGCTCCTGCTGCCTGGCTTCTCCCTGCTGTCAGTGCCAGCTCTGATCTCCAAGCAAATTTGGGGCAAGCCCAGGAGCCATGAATGGCACAGGAGGCAGACAGAAGATGGTGAAATGGGTGGGTCCCTGCTGAGGCCCCACCTTCAGGCCAGGACAGGCATGAAGGCTGGGGACTGGGCTGCCAGTCCCACAGACTGGAGTGGGAACTTGTGGTGCCTTTTCCTGGCCGCTCATGGCCACCCATGGACCAATCGGCAGGCACTTCCTCCCCTCTGAGCCCCATAAAAGCCCTGGGCTCAGCCACAGCTGAGCAGAGGATGAGCAGACCAGCTGCAGAAAGGAGCTACCCCAGAAAAGAGCTCTGAGAGGGTCTGCCTGCAGAGAGGAGCAGCCCACTCTAAGGCCTTCTCTCTGCTGAGAGCCGCGGAGATGACAGGATGTCCTGCTTGCAGAGAGGAGCTTCCCACTCCAGGGTCTCCTCTGCTAGGAGCTGAACATTCACTGGGACGCCCCAGCTACAGAAAGGAGCTACCCCCATAAACCTTTTCTTCAACTTGCTCACCATCCACTTGTCTGCCTACCTCATTCTTCCTGGTTGTAGGACAAGAACTCAGGACTGATCAAATGGCAGAGCTAAAAGAGCTGTTAACAAACAGGGCTGAAATATGCCCCTTGCTTGCCACATTGCGGGCAAAGAGAAGGAGAGAAGAGCTGCAGCCCCTCGGCGAGCCCAGACCTGGGAGTTCTCTGAGCCAGAGCTGTGACTCCCTCTTTGTGGTCCTGTGGTACCTAGCACCTCCAAGCTTTTGGACACTACTGCATTCCACAGTGCCAGCTGGGGAAGCTGCTGACCATGTGCCTGGTCCTGCCACAGCCTCACAGAGAGCTGGCTCCCGTGCTGGCACTTGGATCTGCCTGCCCCATGGCAGCAGCTGGCATGTCTGTGCACAGTGGCCAGACCTCACGCTCACACACCCCTCACCACTCCAGGCCTGGCTTGCCTTTGGCAGGCATGGGATCCAGGCTGGTAACATGAGCCAAGTGCAGCCTGCCAGACCAGGTGGGCAGAATGAGCCCAGCAGCCGAAGCAAATTTTGGGCAAAGGTGCCACAGGTCACAGAGGTTTCCGGCCAGAACAGCAACACCCAAAGATTCCATGAAAGAGTTATGATGGTGGATCCTTTTCACAAGATGGCGCCGAAAGCGAAGAAGGAAGCTCCTGCCCCTCCTAAAGCCGAAGCCAAAGCGAAGGCTTTAAAGGCCAAGAAGGCAGTGTTGGCAGTGTTGAAAGGTGTCCACAGCCACAAAAAAAAAGAAGATCCGCATGTCACCCACCTTCCGGTGGCCCAAGACACTGCTACTCCGGAGGCAGCCCAAATATCCTCGGAAGAGCACCCCCAGGAGAAACAAACTGGACCACTATGCTATCATCAAGTGTCCGCTGACCACTGAGTCTGCCACGAAGAAGACAGAAGACAACACACTTGTGTTCATTGTGGATGTTAAAGCCAACAAGCACCAGATCAAACAGGCTGTGAAGAAGCTCTATGACATTGATGTGGCCAAGGTCAACACCCTGATTCGGCCTGATGGAGAGAAGAAGGCATATGTTCGACTGGCTCCTGATTACGATGCTTTGGATGTTGCCAACAAAATTGGGATCATCTAAACTGAGTCCAGCTGGCTAATTCTAAATATATGTATATCTTTTCACCATTAAAAAAAAAAAAAAGAGTTATGATGGTAAGTTGAGCATAGAGCTAAGATTACTGAATGGCATAATAACACTTAATAAATGTCAGATAGCAATGCTGTGATTACCACTACTATCAACACTGAAATGTTAGGATGGTTTAACCTTAGGAAAAGAGAAAAACCATGACCAACTTAATTGTTGCTGAAAAGACATTCCATAAAATTCAACACTGACTTCTTTCAAAAACGCTTAGTCACCTAGAAATATAAGTAAGCCTTGTATGTACCCAGAACTAAAAACTACAGCAAATATCATTCTATCACTGCTCTATTTCAGTATTTTTGGACGTCCTACCCAATGCGATAAATCAGCAGCACGCAGCGAGAGGCACAAATTTAAAAAAATAGGAGACAAATTCTCTCTTATTTATAGATTGTTTGCAGATAATCTGAATAGTCGGAAATTCTGAGGCAGGGTAATCAATTGAGAAAACTATTAAAATTAACATTCAAAATTCAAGACAAGCATTGAAACTGAGTGTTTAGTGAGATGGCCTGATATAAAAATAACATATAAAGCCTGTCATGGTGGCTCACAGCTATAATCCTGGCACTTTGGGAGGCCGAGGCAGGAAGATTGCTTGAGTCCACGAGGTCGAGACTTCCGTGAGCCATGGTTGCACCACTGTACTCCAGTCTGGGTGACAGAGTGAGACCCTGTCTCAAAAAAGTAAAATAAAATAACATATAGAAGTCAATAGTTTTGCTATATATACCAGCAATAACTGTATCAGGGCTCTTGATACAAAAGAGCTCTTTTTTTAAGCAATAAGGGAAGTAATTAGGGTTAACAGAAATAATAAAAGGCTGGAGAATGAGGATTGGAAAATAAGGAAGAATTAATGACAATTAATTAATAGTGAAGAATAATGATTAATAGTGAAGAATAATAGAATTAATGAAGATTAATTAATAGGCAGCAGGAATCATAATAAATAATCATATAGCAAGAACAGGCTACAAATCAATAAATAAGTGCCCACATATAAGAAGAAAAAAGAGAGAAAATTAACCTACGCAACAATATTCTTTGCTGCAATGAACTCACCTCTGATCACCTCTGAATCCTCAATCAATATCAGAGTTCCTAAGAATATCTCATTTGCAAACGCTAAACCAAATGCCAACCCCTCCGTGAGTCACACTCAGGAACATTCCTCAGGAAGCTTATGATCTGTGGTTTCAAATTGTAAGTATTTGCTAAACACAACCTACTACCCATGCAGCTAGCTATCGTATATACAAACAAACTTCCTGATGAGAAAAAGCAGAAATGTTTCCCCAAAACAGCTTTGTCATGGAAGTAACTGATGGGAAGTTTCCCCTGGTATTCGTGCATTTTATACTTAGCTCCATAAATCAGCACTTAGATCCCTTCTTTACATCCTCTTTGTCAAGCTACCTCCATCTTTTAAGCTAAAGTCCTAAATTCACAGTTACTTCTCATTAGGGGTTTAACTTTTTTTAAAGTATGTGAGTTTTTTCATTAGGATCATTTTTGCATTTGTTGTTGCTGTGATTACAAAGCTGCAGTGGTTTTAACAGGTCTTCCCTAACCCTATTTTTCCCATACTTGACTAACACACAAAAAAATGGAAGTTCTCTTCCCCCTCCTCCAGAAACACAACTAAAATGATGCAACAATAACAGCTAAAATTTTTTGCGCCGGGCGCGGTGGCTCACGCCTGTAATCCCAGCACTTTGGGAGGCCAAGGCGGGTGGATCACGAAGTCAAGAGATCGAGACCATCCTGGTCAACATGGTGAAACCCCGTCTCTACTAAAAATACAAAAAATTAGCTGGGCATGGTGGTGCGTGCCTGTAATCCCAGCTACTCAGGAGGCTGAGGCAGGAGAATTGCCTGAACCCAGGAGGCGGAGGTTGCGGTGAGCCGAGATCGCGCCATTGCACTCCAGCCTGGGTAACAAGAGCGAAACTCCGTCTCAAAAAAAAAAAAAAAAAATTTTTGCATACACTATGTAGCAGGTATATTTTAAATGCCCCGTATGTACTGTTGCATGTAATTAAATCTAAGATTTCAATTTTTTTCTTTTTTTGAGACCTGGTCTTGCTCTGTCGCCCAGGCTGGAGTGCAATGGTGGGATCTCGGCTCACAACAACCTTCACCTCCCAGGTTCAAGTGATTTTCCTGCCTCAGCCTCCTGAGTATCTGGGATTACAGGCATGCACCACCACGCCTAGCTAATTGTTGTATTTTTAGTAGAGACGGGGTTTCATCATGTTGGTCAGGCTGGACTTGAACTCCTGACCTCGTGATCTGCCCGCCTCGGCCTCCCACAGTGCTGGGATTATAGGCGTGAGCCACCACGCCTGGCCACACAAGGACATTTATCTAGCAACAAGTGTCTTCACCAATGAATTGATGCCAGCTCCTGCAACAAGCCCCTGTAAACTATGCTTACAAAAGACCTTATGTGGACTTCTTGTTTTGTCTTTAAAAGTTTCCTGGGCCGGGTGCAGTGGCTCACGCCTGTAATCCTAGCACTTTGGGAGGCCAAGGTGGGCAAATCACAAGGTCAGGAGTTCGAGACCAGCCTGACCAACATGGTGAAACCCCGTCTCTACTAAAAGTACAAAAATTAGCCAGGGGTGGTGCTGGGCACCTGTAATCCAGCTGTTCAGGAGGCTGAGGCAGGAGAATCGCTTGAATCTGGGAGGCAGAGGTTGCAGTGAGCCGAGATCACCCCATTGCACTCCAACCTGGGCAACAGAGTGAGACTTCACCTCAAAAAAAAAAAAAAGTTTCCTTTCACCCCAGCCTCCCCAGATATGCATATGGTTGCTATAGCATGTGTATTCCAGACTGCAATCCCTTTGCTATTTCCAATAAACTCTTTGCTTTGGAGAATTGGTCTCTTTGTCACTCATTATAGGTCGACAACTGGTGTCAGAGGTGAGAGTGAAGCGAGCTCACCTTGGAAAGACTGGTGGCCCCAGGAATAGAGTGCGGTACCCACCTGGGCTCCCTGTGCTCCTCCCTTTCATGAGTCACCTTTTTGTTTCTGTCCGTCTCCTCATAGATTTTGGACTCACTCCTTTTGGTTGAGCTCTGACTGTATTCAGGATTCGGTTTTATAAAGGCCTCAGGGACATCATCCAACTGGTGAGTACTCTTTGGGTTTCTGCCCACCTAATTTAAAATGTTGGCAAGCTAGATTTCTCTTGTTTCTGAACATCTTCCAAGAACAAAATAGCATGCTAACAGGCATGAGTCAACGCTATTTTGACTTTCTGTCTATTGGAAGCACACAGGTTATTGGAGCTGCATGTGCAGGCACCAAACGAAACAGTTAGAAGCACCCCAACAAATAACCAAACAGAAATGTTTTTTGTGTCCCATTTGGAGCTAATACATGGTAATACAGAAATGTAGGTTGCACCCTGTTTGCAGCTAGTATATTTGTATGGTTTTTCTTTTTGCTCTTGAGAGATTAATAAGAAACAAAATGGTATGCAAAAATAGTGCTCCTTCAGAGATTCCAGCCGGCCACATGTTCAAACATGATGGTCCATTATCTTGCATATTTTTTAACTGATGGGCAAATTATGCCAAAGAAAATTTAAAATTACAATGACCATTATGTGGAACATTCCATAGGAACAACATTGCACTTTAAGAAGGGCATTTAAAAATGAAGGCTCCCGGCCAGGTGCGGTGGCTCACGCCTGTAATCCTAACACTTTGGGAGGCTGAGGCAGGCAGATCATGAGGTCAAGAGATCGAGACCATTCTGGCCAACATGGTGAAACCCCATCTCTAGTAAAAATACAAAAATTAGCTGGGTGTGGTGGCGTGTGCCTGTAGTCCGAGCTACTCCAGAGGCTGAGGCAGGAGAATTGCTTGAACCTGGGAGGCAGAGGTTACAGTGAGCCAAGATCGCCCCACTGCACTCCAGCCTGGCGCCTGGAGGCTGAGCGAGATGCTGTCTCAAAACAAAACAAACAAACAAAAAGGCGGCTCCCAAATTAGACCCACAAGGGGTACTTACTGAGGTACAGAAGCTCCTGAAAAGATTTCAAACGTTTTCATTGCCTCTTTTTTTTAAAAGACTCTTCACAGAAGTCAAAGACCTTGAGTAACTTACTTATTTTTTTTAAGACATAAAAGAGTATAACAGCTAGCATTAGGGACTCCCTTAACAAGATTAAAAATCTAAAATCACAACAAAGTTCAAATCCTTCAAGCCCACCATAAATTCTTTTTTTTTTTTTTTTTTT